AAGTTTATGAAAGCAGCGTTGACTATGGCATGAAGTCTCCCTTTTCATTTGTAATTCGGTTCAGATTTGTTCAGCCATTCTTGTCAAGAGAGCAGCCCTGGCTGAGTGCAGCTGCGTCCGCGCTCTGTCCGGCAAATTATCGATCGGTGAAAACTGTCTTTCATTCTAGCCGATTTGACATTTCGTCATCTAAAGCAGAACACACAGTCCGTGCTTTCAAAATGATCAATCTTTTCTAGGCGCTATGCATGGCCAACACGAGGTTTTGTTATTAAGGGTCAGGATAAGCAGTATTATTTGGAAAAAAGTAAACTGTGGCATAGAAACGAACAAGGCGACAAAAGCTGTTACCAACAAAATACTCGCTTATTTTTTTGTTTTTATCCTCATGAAAAGTACCGTAAACGACTTGGATTTGTCCTCATGCGGTCCGCTAGCCAATTGTGCAAAATCGAAGTTCGCCGAATTGATGACACGGCAGAATCAAACCTAGCGCAGTAGAAGCAATTAGTTTCTGGAGGGTGTTCTGGAAAGTGAATGCAGATTGTCAAAGTATCCCTTGCTAAACAAAACGTGACCTGTAGCAACGCCTTAGTAGATGATCACGTAAAAAACACGGCTAAATAACTAGCGGGAAATTAAACACTGCAAATACGTCATGTGACCTATTTGGGAAAGAAAGGGGGAGAGACTTGAGTGCCTCATGTGATGGTACAGTTGGAGAAGAGTGATGATTGTACAGTTGAGGACAAATTACGTGGAGAAAAAGGACTTTAAGTGGGGGGGGGGGTGGAGAAGCAAAAAATAAGGTATGACAGGGGTCATTCGGAGCAGTGTCCAAAACAGCATCTTTGAGGCGATCCACACTCGCGATTCCTTTGCGAGTGCCGTTGTGAGTGCAGAACGTCTTTCCTACTTGAGAAACACCATGGAAATGGCCGTTGTAAGCTAGTCCTACATGCTGGCGTACATGGCTACATCGAAGAAGATTGAAACAAGTTCATTTTGATTATGCTGTCTGCCCATAGTCGATGCGCACGAAGTAACCGAATCCTACCTCAGTCAGTTTTCTGCTTGTCGAGCTCTGACAGTACCTGAGAATTGACAAAGCAACAGGCATTCAATTCAGTCATCAATTCGATTTCCGTGTGCAATACATTTACTTACATAAACATTGTAGTATTGTTTGCAAATATCATCTGAATTTGCAGTTTGTACTAGTTTTCATGTTTAATTCTGGTAGGCTAAAAGATTACTCCAGGTACGTCTGCCTAGTGATGGGCTTAGCCGATTTTCATCTGGCATTCGTTTAACTGATACAGACGGTTAAGGCCTCAACTTAAACGGTAAGGCAGCCATTCAGTTTTGGATATGTTTGCGAGAGTGATGCATAGACTGTATAGTAACCAGTAATCGTATGTTACCATTATACGCGAATACGTCGCCATACACACCTCACATAAAAAGTGGGAGTCCGCAGAGGCAATTGCCAAGGTTCTGTAGCCATGTTGGTGAACGGCACTTTGCAATGGATTCACTAAATGGCATATTCATTTAAAGCCCTTTTGAGTCTGGTCAGAAAAGCTATGGTGTTCTTCTATTTGATGCCATCGATGTGTCATTACTTGTTCATTCGGTATGTTTTAAAGTAAATCTTATAAGGTGTGCAGACACGCAAAGGCAAATAAACCACAGAATTTCCACTGGAATGCCAAATATGCATTCTAATCAGTCAGTTATTTTAGGGAATTTCATCAAAATTCGGCACCGCAGACTGTCCCCAGAGTACGCAAAGCACAGACAATGGCTGGGGGGGTCAAATACGTATTACAAATGCCGTGGCTGGACTGGATTCAGCTTATCGGAGAGTTTTCGGGTTCAATGCACGTTGAGAGAAAGTGAGAGTAGGCAGAATGCTTATGGAGGTTGGAAACGAATTGGTTTTTTTTTCCAAACCACACGTCAAAAAAGTCAGGTTCATTTTTAACCGCGTACAAGGTTCGATTTACAAGTTAATTTTGAACACCTTACAAAACGCTCGTCGCGTTAACCGAATATCGACAGTTTCACGCACAAGCTGTGACATGTCATCCATTACCAGAAGACCCGAAAATCGTGGTTTTATGAAAAGAATCAAAATTAAAAGATGATCGATCTCCTACTACATTAAATAACATTCGACGACAATTGTGTTTCATGATGCGACAGATGATGTCAGATGGAGTCGTAATAATAGTAATTCAGTATATATAAGATAGATAGGCAGAGCCGATTCACAAAAATATACTAAAAGCGTGCATATGCGTAGGCACATATAGGATATATTTGATCAGTTCTCCTCAAGGAAACATGTGGCAATCATATAAGATATTGTCGAGTCATTTATTAAATGTCTGAATTTTTATGTCAGAACAACCGAATAAGGTAGATCTTTCTAATCTGCTATTACCTGATTCAGATAATTTCAGTTTATTTAAGCAAAATTTTGGTTGTTAAACAACTGAACTCCCTTCTTGTTACAACCAAGCAAATTATATTAAAAAACTGAAAATGGAAACTTTAAACACCTACAGACGTTTTCTGAAAAAGAGTCAGACTGACGATTTGTTCCAAATGTTTGAAACATTAACATTACTAAACGTGCTGTACAGTAGTCAGTCTATGCAAAATCGGCGCGATCTCAGTTTCTGAGGAAGACGAATTGAATGCCCACACGCACACTCTACGGACTTCAAGTACTAAGAAAAAACAAACTTTACTGAAAAAAAGACAGTAGTAGTATAACATTCACAAACTGTTAGAACGACACGCTAAGACGATGTTGGCCAGGTGACATTGTGACGTTTAATGGTATACTAGTCTAGCTCGAAGGATGTGGACACGAAATCTGTATGCAGAGCATTCCTGGCCGCACGTTATGCGGAATGTTGGTATCAGGTCGCCTCTTAGCTGTCTGTTACTCGGTGGAAAAAGGCTGAAATTAATTATATTTCACTGAGAGCAAAACCTAACTCGTACACCAAATTCGACGTAGTTTGTCTTCAATTTATATTGGTGACCTCGTTGATTTGTCGTGCGTGCCAGTTCAAAAAATCGTCCTACTTTGTTAATCAGTCTACGCCAGGACGAGTTTAAAGACCGAAATCATGTCCCGTCGGTATTGCCTATGAGAAACAGAGGAGGAAGTTCGAGCCTTTTTGGCCTCTCCTTATAGGTAGGCCTTTCTGCCCCCTGACTAATTTGATCCTCCTTCTTAAACCTACTCCAAGACATGGGCGTCTTGCTTCATCAAAGAGCGCCATGCATGGATGCCATATTCCAAAATCAGCCGAATATATGTTCGAAAAATTCCATCCAAAAGCTTTTCATGAAAGTTAAAGAGGGATCTTCGGATGCCCATAGCCCTCTTTGCTTTTTTGGCGAAGTGAGACGAGGGTTTGAGAGTGGACTTCATCCACATACCTAGGCCCTTTAATCCGTTTACAAGCTCTAGTTCTCAACCTTTGATGAAATAGTGATAGTAAGATGACGAAACTGTCCACCTGGTTAATTATCGCACGATGTCTATCAAGCCCAGTCTTCTTGTCGTCAATTCAAAATCGTCATGGATATTTAGATTTCTCTAAGCACATCATGAGCACACACCATGCTTCTGTAGATAATTTTCCCCGTGTCGTTTGTGTGGCATAATTGCGCCGGTTGTTTGATAACCATTATCGGTAGGGATGACAGTCATCTCGAAGACACAACGGTAGATATGGAGACGGAATTATTTCTGACGACGGTGACTTCCGTTTCGCCTAGCTCACTCTCTCTTTCCCCCCAGAAAACATATGACCTAGATAAATTTGGTAAGGAAATGACACCCAGATCACATTTGAAAAGCATGTGAAATCACATTAAAGTTAAAAAACATGGCGATTGCACCCCAGATGGCACATCGGTCCGCAGAGAGCACAATCAGAAGTCGCTTCAATCGCGTGTTCATTCCACGGTTGAAGAAATTTGACGAGACATTTGAAAGCTTTCATCCGAGGCTTATTATCACATCTCTTGCTGACTAAGGCATCGGTTACCACGTCCTATGCACTGTTGCAATTGAAACCCAATTCTGTTGCAAAGGAAAGCGTGGCCTAGTTACACTAAATTATAAGCATAATTCCCCAGTATAAAGATTCAGACGCTTTCCATGCTCAAAAAATGTAAATAATGGGAAAAGTAGAACAAGGGTTATTCTAAGATCACAGTAAACGTTTTTGAGACACGGCTCCGCTGCAAAGAAAACCAAGTTTATGGGCTGTACAGTCCTGAGTTTCACTTACGACGAGCAAAAAACGAAAAGAAAAACCAGAAAGACATCTGAAAGTAAAAATGTACGCCTAAGACGAAGAGGATTTCCGATCAGGCGACAGATAAGTCATTTGAACGAAGTGCGCGAGTAGTTGACAAATGTCCGTTGTACCGTCGGCGGAAACAGTTCAGAGTGACTACGAAAGAAACCCAAGTTCATTATTGTTTGTGGAGCGACTACGTAAACTGTTGGTCACTGTTTGTTAAGTTATTTGAACGTCGAGGATTCAGACGCCTCTTAAATTCGTCTTAGTGGATCGGAAGAAAAACGCAATAAGTTAACTGGAGTAATATCGGCAGTTTTGTATGCGCGTTTTAGCAAAACCCCTCTGCAAGAACGAGTGGTTAAAGATGGTCCACCAAGAAGCGGCACAAGTTGTGTAGAGGCAGTAATTTAATGTGGATTTGACGTCTGATGTCTTCGCAGCTTTCGCTAACTTCTAGAAAATTATTCGTTTTAAAATTTATAACAGATATTTAATTTCTATGATTCGCATTTTACTTACCTTTTGCGGACTTTAGCAACTAAATTATAGACATTTAGATTATTCTGGTGAAATAGACCTTTTACTGCGCTAGAATTTGTGACCCGAGATTAAAAAGCAGCCCAATTGGTCCTTCTGGCTGATTGTGTTTGCTGGCTGTTTCGGATGGTGATTATTTACTTTTATCCTTTTCTCCGCTTCTCTTTTGTTTTGTTCGAATCGTTCCCCTAGCAACCGAAAACTACGTTTCTTAGATGGGAGCACGCTGCATTGTCCAGCTTTTCGTTATGTGAACACGATTGTCTTAGCACAGTCAGAGCTACTTAAGCCGCTGCAGCCCCGTAAAGTCTCACCCTTCATTTTAGGAGCATTCCGCCAGATCGTAACCCTAGGGATTTAATAGCTTGCTCGATAAGGGGTGTCCGGCATAGCGGGTGAGATATATTCCACCCGTGAGATGGTGCGTGAGTTCGAGGCTGTTCGCACCGGTCCGCAACCGCGCTTTCCGTGGCTGACAACAGCAACAAAATGTTATCGGGGCTGAAGGTTTGGACAACTAACCGATGACATTTTTATGTCACGTACTTATTTTTAGAAGAACTGGTCATGATAACCGTTCGCGTTGTTTACTTATTTTTTAACCCAAACTTCGAAGTAGAGGCCGTTCACACGAAAAACTGCTTCTAATTAACATAAGCTCTTAAGGGCTGCCGTGGTTACTCGAAACAACACAACTTTCGCGATGAACTGTTTTGTCTTCAACACAAAATGCGGCCAAGCTATTCAGAAAGGCCGCACCCTTCTATTAGTTGCGTTTTGTGGCATTTTCAGACAATGAAACGAGAAGGGGTTGCTACCGATGTCCAAGTTACCCCTCCTTTTTATAGACAAGGGCATTCTTTTCAAGCGCATGCTGATAGTCTTATTAAAAAATGATGAAGGCCTCTTATATAGCACAAATTTGCCGTAATGTAAATCTTCTCTATCAAGAAACGAACAAAAGAGTTCCATACATTTTCTAAATTATATCGAATTTAGTGAGCACCAAAAAGAGTATACTACGAGTTGATCCTCCCCTCTTTATCGTGGAGCGAGTCCAACTGGAGTTTCCGGATAGCGTATGCAAAACGTCACAAAAGTAGTTCTGGCTCACATTTGTCCGCTATACTGTTTGCGAATGTGTTGCCTGCTTACTGGCCGGGCAAAACCTCCTGCTTAAAGGCTAAAGACTCTTGATTTTACGTAATAAATCTCAAAGCCGACGCTGTATACCAGCCCTGTGTATACCAGCTCATCTGTGTAGAACCTATCGCAGGCCGAAGATCCTAGTATAATCCGTCGACAGGGGTTTTATTATCGCAATTACCCTGACACCGTGTTTCTTTCATCTTAACCAGAGCTACGAACTGGCTAGGCATCCACTTGGGCGAAAAGAAAGACAAAGCGTACGGATAAGGCTTAGCTGTACAGTTTTTGAAGTTCACTAAAGTTATTGGGAATGCCTGCTAAGTCCGGTCTCACAAACGCTGTTCAGTTAATTTTGAAATTCATTCGTCCCATCCGTCAGATTCATTTTTTCTTAATTCCTGGTGTACCAGGATATAATTGAATCCTACCTGAACTTGCGCCTTCTCGCTGACTGCCTTGATGCCAGGGATAAGGAAAAACCTGCATGTGGTAAGAAAAGCTAATGCTTCGCGTTTCTTAATTTCACGGCATCTTACGAAGTCCTGTAGCAAATAGATGTCCTCAATTCCGCACGATTTCTGAGCCACACTGCCAGTGAACACTTTCAAAGGTGGCAGTGCTTATTGGTAGTAATTTGTCATACATTATTGATTGCGTTCATTTGTGCCTTAAATGCTAGGCCCACAAAGTATTTGCTGCGTTCTTTTTAGAAATTGTTTGCCTTTGGACTTTAGACATATACTTCTCGGTTAGCATTTAGCTTTCTCCAACTGTCTGCCAGTGACATGTCCTGGAAGCGTCCCGCTATCCCAATAGTCTTGAAATTTTCGGCAGAAGTTCACGTGTTCACTGTTGAGATTGCAGGTGATTGACAATGAAAATGGATAGGCTCTCGTAGGACTCACTTTTGACGGATATAATGGCTGCTTACTTATAACGCATCTGATATTGGGCAGTCTTAGACAGGTTAACTTTTCAGCGTATGGTTTGACGTTAACATGCAGGTAGCAGTTCTCGTCTTTTTCTCGTCTTTCCTGTCTGTCATCAGAGATCACGAATACAAGTGCAGGCATGTGGACATAATTTCTGCCTGCCATTCACCATATTTTTAGTACGTGCAGATATGGAGCGTTTTTATGTCATTTTGTGTTTTTACAGCCATCCGCAATCACCTACGCATATTGCTAACGTATGTATCCCATTTCCCGCCCTTTATGAGGGCGGATTTGCAGTTTCCTGGTCGTTGAAAACTTCGAACTTCAATTTAAAGGCTGGTTCACCAATCTGTCCGACGGTGTTACATTTAATTGTTAGTTTTTCCTTCATAGCCGACTTTAAAAATTCTCCAATTACCCTCACGTTTGCGGGTCCCATTTCGCCTTTTGGAGACTAAGACAAAGGAAGCTGCTCTGTTATTTATGGGACTGTCACAGGGAATACTTATCGTCATGGTAGGATTTAAATCTGTCACAATGTTAGACTTTTCGTGCTTCTTTCTTAAGCCTGCGGAATTCAGGACCACTTTTATTGCGGCCTATCAGAACAACTCGCATGACACTATTTCATTCAGGCGGTCCTTTATCCTTTCTTGAAGGGTCCTCTTTGGTCAGCGTGCCCCCAGCCTCGTCACCCCTCTACGAACCCTTCCATCAGCTCCTCGATTTGACCCGGGGTAAGTGTTTTTCTTTGTTCTCTCCGAATTTTCAGCTGGCTCGGATGGTATCAACAGCCGTGCCTCGGAGACGCCGTTTCGATGCTTCAATGTCACCTATGGGCTACTTGACAGAACGACTACGGGTCCTATGTGGGAGATGGTCTCTTTCTCTCTCGCCTGACATGGCTATGTCATTCACGCCGAACTACACCACAAACCACCATTGGGGTAGGGAATGCATTTTGACTCGCCTGCTCTACTGTCACCTGCATTTTTCCCATTTTAATTTATCTGCCGCCTACTTTACAACAAAGATGGTTTGACTTGAAGTTACTTATGTAGGGTGTGATAGAAACGGAACCTTCAGGGGATTGTGATTGTGATCATGAAGTCCACTACCTAAAATGTGTAAGAGCTGTGTACCTGTGTGGCAGTACCTAATCCCGACACGAACGGTTACCGCCGAAACCTCATTGTTTACATTTGGAAGTCGATCTGGAGCAGTTTTATGACGACGTTTTGATCGCCTACATGAGATAACTTTACCGCCAAACTCGTGACACAGATTCAAGCTTCGTTCATTGAAATACGAGCCCTTTTAAGGCGTCGCATAGCGTCCTCTGGTCGTGAACGTCAGCAAGCGCCACACAGACTGTCTGACCTGACCATATCTGCCATTCTCGACTCTTTCAGAAGTATTATACCCTTTACGCCTTAGAATTTTAAGCTGCGCACATGAAGACGAACGTATATTTCCTAGTGGTTTTTTTCGGCAGTCCGTGTTGGGTTGGACATCAGGTTGTGAACTCCTGTTTGTACGCGCACATCAACAAAGCAACCGTTATTTGCAAGTACTAATCATAGAGAAATAAGAACAGCAAGTGGCCGAGAGAACTGTAATTTAAAGTCGTAACGGCAGATTTTGAAAGCCTGATGTTCTGTCGTGGAGTCACCCGTCTACGTTCTGCCTGACGCAGTCAGGGATATTGTCTTTTTCGGCCCCGGCGACTTCTTTGCACCTATTTTTATTTCGCTCTCACTCTAGACCGGAGACCCTTCTACTGGATTGTGAACCGCAGTTGTCACTTGAAAGAAATGAATACAGGCTGCAAGAGATGCTACCCCTGAGACGCTTCCTTGAAAATGAAATCCTCCCAGCGATCCACGCAGAGCTCTTCGATTCCCTCATTGCCTCCCAATCACCTACGACTCCTCCTCCTCCTTGCCTTGCTCATTAAAGTACTCTTCTTTACTAAAGAAAACTTGTATATAATTTCGTCATTTTGCTGCCTCGTTAGTGCACTGTCGTTCGTTGGAGGTGGGACGGGGATTTGGAAGTCTTATACTGTCTCTTCTGTAGCGCGTCTATATATCCCGCACTTGTTATACAGGCGCACATGAATCAACGCCCCTGATCACTTTCGTCGTTTTTTTTCGAGTTATTTTTTGTCTCACGCCGGCCTGCTTGTACTGGACAGTTGTCGGGACCAAGGTCACGTCCCCCAATATTATTTTGCACAGTGTGCTGCTCTCATTTCAGTAGGCATGTAATCTTTAATAATTATCTTGAAAGTTCCCGTATCACTAGAGGTTAACTTCGTCTCTCAGGCGTGCTCATATAGGTTGGATATATCGGATCATTATAACGCGTCAAACGAGACTCATAATACTGATAGAAGTAAGGCACGCCTGTTCCAGGGGGCTTACCTCCCATAACTTTCAGTTTATTGCAGTTTATTTTTTTGAGGACTGTAGGGGAAGCCGTTGGAACTCTGATGTTTTCATGTCGATGTGGCATAGACAGCTGTGAGCGCATCTTGAACAAATTTTACTGCTAAGATGATCTTCACTTAACGTAAGTAGTATTGTTTTTAGGAAAATCGTCTTCGGCAGTTGACCTGGCATTTTGTTCACGCCTCGCGTGTCAAGGGACAAAAAGGGACACACAATCATCCAAGCGTCTCTTGCATAGTTGCAGGCAAGTCACATTCACAACTGATTTCGTGGGGCTCATTGGACACGTGACGTGAAGAATTCAGATCAAAGATGCAGTCCATATATTTTCCTGCGTAGCCGCACTGAGCGGTCACGAAACTAAGGCGAAAGGTGCCACCAAAACACGGCCTGGGCAGTCAGAAGCGGTGGAAGTGTTTCGTTTTTGTATTCAGACGGCCGCCTCAATCAAAGAAATCGGATACTTACCACGAGGACGTCCTTGTCACGTTACGGGACATGCTACTGTGATTGCACTTGGGTGTTTCCTCTGCAACCTTCTCAGACATTCGCCTCGCGATGAACCTCAGATCTGCCACTGGCGCGTGAGGATTATTCACTGTTATACCCTGTTGTCACATGCTCTGCCTTCGAGACTGGGATTTTAAACAGAGGGTCGTGCAGTCCGTAGGCCGGTCGCCAGCCGCCCTATGCTGCACACAGTTTTGCAGTCGTCTAACTGCTGAGATTCCTTTTTTTCAGTTAGCTTGCCATTTTAGCTTTGGAGCAATCAGAAAAGTCGTCGAGATGTTCCCTACTAAACCCTTCTACATGTCTTACATCCTGATTACGCACTTGTTGTTCGCATGCAAGTGGATTAGCTCCCAGAAGGATCGGGTGAAGGCCTCCAAGCAGCTGTGGCATACGAGGAATACCTACTTTACTTATTTAAGTGAGTTATAGTCCGACACAATTATTTCGGTATGGTGTTTCATCGTACAAGGTCGGATTGTCTGTTGTAGACGGTCTAGTGCATTAACTACAATAAACTCGGCTCAGAGAGTTGAGGAGCGATCGTTGTACACACTTAATGTTTGTCCAATTGTTCTGCGTAATTTCGGTTGCTATATGTCAATGCATCAAAGCCTTTCCGCACGTAAAACGAATTTACCAAATATCTATGATTATTTTGCCAATCCCCTATGCATATATAGGCCCCGCCCGTAAAACCCGTGTTACCACCTCTCTCGTCAGATAGGCATCTTTGGCTGGTCATGTGCGTTTGAGGTCCTTCACCCGAACGCTAACCTATTTTCTGTCTGAAGCAGACCTGTCCTTGATGGACATCTGTCGTGACTAAGGTCATATTGTATATGTCCAGAGAACTGTCGCCTCGACACCCAATGTCATTCCAAAGGAACGCTTCCCTGAGATTACTTACTCAGAACACTGCTTCTATTGTAGTAGGCATGTATTTATTACTAATTATCTTGGATGATCTCGCGCCAATAGGGTTTAACTTTGTCTCTCAGACGTGCTGGTACACATCGGTCGTTTGAACGCGTCAAGTGAGGCTCATAGTACTGATATAAGTAAGGCACGACTGCATCAGGGTTTCTGCCTTCTCCAACTTTCGGCTCATTATAGCTTATTTTTGACTCTAATAGGCAAAGCCTTTGGAACCATAATGTTTTCATGCCGGTGTTCTAAGCGCATTCTGGAAAACTTTCCACTGCGATAATGTTATCCACATAATGTAAGTAACATTGTTCTGGAAAAAAATCTGTGTCTGGGGTTGGCGTGGTATTCATTTTACGAAGAAGAATAAGAAAAGACACATAATCATCCAAGCGTCTCTTGAATAGTTGCCGGGAGGTCGCCTTCACAGCTGATTGCGGGGGACCCATTCAGCTCGCTGAGTGATAAATTCCGATCGAGGGTTCTGCCTGAATATTTTCTTGCGTAGCTTTATTGAGTTTCCGCGAAGACAAGGCGACAGGTGCCACCGAAACACGTCCTGGACAGTCAGAAGCGATGGAAGTGTTTCGTTTTGGATCCAGACGGCTGCCTCAATCGAAGAAATCGAATACTGACCAAAAAGACGTCCTTTTCAGGTTATGGGACATGCTACTCTCATTGCACTCTAGTGTTCTCTCTTCAAACTTCGCAGACATTCACCTCGCGACGAGCCCTAGATCTGCCACTGGCGCGTGAGGGTTATTCACGGGTGTCATCCATTAATTCCTTGATATCCCCAAAACGATGTTTTGGGGGCCGCTAACCCGCAGACAAACTAACTTGGCCCCTCCACAGCGCCTCCCTTAGTCTACTGTCCTCATGACATCTAATCCTTCGGGACTCTGTAATATGGAAGTCCATCTGGCACACTCAGATATGAGTATTTTGCCACATTAGTCATCTGTAGCCCTTCTGACTTTGTTGAAAGGCGATGTCTATTGAAGGCCTCTTTTACTGCCTTAATAGATCTGATGCGTTTTTAAACTGCCACAGCGCGTCAAAGCCGGGGGTCGAGGGGGTTGCGGCTTACGGACCGAGTGAGTGATCGCCTGGACTGCAGGCCGGGCCTCAGTGGCCCCTCAGTTTTGCGGCCTTTCAAGCTAGCAAACAGAATGCTAGCGTTATTTAAAGTCTGGTTTGCATGAACCACAACTTGGATGATATGTGTAGAGGCGGGCCTTGTCACGCCAGCAAATGCAATCACGAGCACACACACACACAGCCTCCGTCGTCTTGACTTCGTCTCCCGGTTAGGACGTTGTGAGCATTTTGAATGGGGGTGAGGTGGACGCTGCACAAACCTTCCACGCAGCGCAGCGCTGTGTGTACTCCGTAACTTACCGCTGTCCAATTATCACACACAGGCGCATGTGATGTACTGGACAGTACTTGACTCGCCTCTGGGAAACACAATTCGTATTGGGGTAGGGCGTGGGAGTAAGTGCATCCCCCGTATTGCAGGTGCCACTGCGCTAAATTCCAGAAGGGGGGTAGGATTGAAGTTAGAACAAGAGAGTGTCCCCCTTCCCCCAGAAAGCTGGCGCAAAGACACCCGTGCCGCGGAGGATTCATACATCCATGTCCAATCGAGGAATTAAGCAATGTGGAACTGCCCTTCTCAACATAACCGGCGCAACCCCCCTCCCTCCAGCCCATCCAGCCACAACAGAGAAGCGTGCCGTTCGGGAAGTAGAGCTCAAAACCCTCTGCAAGCACAGTCTCTGAAACGTGAAAGCTAGCACTAGACGAAGGACGGATGTCGGTGTCATACTGGTCGACGCCACTGTTAGTAGATGACTTGCTTGGCTGTTCGCCTGTTGCAAGTCCGTAAGTGCTGTGATGCTTGTAAAGTAAGACAAGGGCAGACTCCAATTAGGCAGCATACAGTACAAAATATATAAAAAATATGTACAGTAGATGCGCAAACTTATGAAATGTTAACTGAAATTATGAGATACGTTTTCGAATCAAAATTGTTGCCTAAATAAAGCTGTTTTTTAGTCACCGTGCAGCAAAATCCCATAATAGTTCGGTTACTTCAGGATACCATCTTTTTGGACGAACTTCTTTTCGGTGGGTCGCACAAAAGTCCATTCGGTAAGAAATGGCTTCTTATTTACCATGAGATTTTCTCATTGATTTCAAGTGCCATCTTAAATTCATATATATTTTACGGAAAACATGCATGAAAATATTTGTCCTTTTTCTACTTTGGTAGGAAATTACGTCTTCTTTAAATTTAATATTTGAAGGAAGGCTATAATTCGGTTTTAAAAAAGTTTTTAATTATGAGACTTTTAAGATCGTGAGATGCCCGTTCATAAAACATCGTGTCTCTGCATTTATTAGTGTTGCTTGTAAAGTTTTCAATATGCCCAAATCCACTGATAAATGTTATGAACACCTATACGGTTTCCTCACAACACAGCAGAGTAATTTATGACTTCTCGTACATGGAACATATAAAGTTTATAGTTTGTAAACCCTGAATGCAAGTGTAACGGCATGTCGGTTTCAAAATCAGCCGAGATTTGGTTCTGCAACCGCACTTGATGGATGTCATATGGTTGACTTACTAAAACAATTTTAATTAACATACCTAACTTAGCCGCTCACTGAACTAGGAGGCGAAAGAAAGCGCAAGCAGGGACCGAAGTGCACGCCGGGGAGCGAGTGAAGATGGCGTGCAAACACCCCTCCGACGCAGCTATTCGCTGGATTGAGAGGATAAGGAGGGCGTAAGCAAAACTGAAGGGCCACTGTGTGAACCGCAGTGCATGGCCACTATACTGGGATCGACGGATTTGCACCAGGTCGGAACAATTTCACAAGCAAGTCTTTTTGGCCACTCGCTGGATTAAGATAATAAAGAGAGTGCAGACAGCGTTCAAAGCAGG